TCAAACCAATGAAACGTTGATAAATTTTAGGTATGCGGAAGCGCGAAACATATCTCAGACAAAAATTACAGGGGTCAAAGGGGTCGACCAACGATGACCTTGTCTTTGACCTTGGAACAAATTTGAAGGTCATTTCAAGGTCAAAGAATGTTTTTTATTTTTTTTTTAATTAAACTCCCACATTTCAGTTCGAAAGTGCGTTGTGTTCAAAATCGTGTTTTAAATAATGACCGCTTTCAGTTGACAGTTTAGTTGTGCAAACGTTTTTTCGGAAAGTATCTAATTTGATAAGTATCTTTTTAAACAATGCCTGACTACACTGCCAACGAAATTGTTGACATTCTACTTATTTTAGGAGAGTGTTGCAGACGATATCGTGCAGCAGCAAGATTGTATCGTTTTCGATTCCCTGAATTTTCATTGATTTGACCTTGGAATGAATGTTAGAGGACATTTTGGCCCTCGCATGACCACATATCTGAACGTGAAATTTTCCGCTCTTTTCATTTCCGGAGAAAGAAATTGGGGTTTCCATTTAAAAATCTCGATTTGACCTTGAAATGATCTTTAAACTTGACCCCAAGGTCAAGGACAAGGTCACCACTAGTTGACCCCGTTTGATCCCTGCAACTTTTGTCTGAAACATTTTTTCGATAAACGCCTTCTTTCTGAGATAATCGCGTGGAAGTTTTAAAATGGGACATCCTGTATATTTGTAAAGTGAAATACGATAATTTTTTAAATATTAATTTTTTAAATATTAATTAAAAAAACAGAAGCTGTGGAGCACTGTAATTTTACATCAGAACCGGTAAATGAAGAAATTAATACAAATAGCAACATATTGAATAATTCAAATACGGAACCAATTATAAGAAATGCAAAAATACCTAGTAATATTTCATAATATTTTTGAGATTTTCACAAATACTTACTTTAAAGATGCTAGAAAGTTGTGGGGTTTGTAGTTTATATACATTGAGAGTACGGTGGATGCGGCAGCAATTCGTACCACAATTCGACCAATTTGGCTGTGGCGACTGCGGAGGAGTAAGCCGGTGTATATTGTCCTAATGGAACAACACTTTTTTTTCGCCAAATGGGAACATTTTTTTTTCAATTCAACATCGAATCGGCCCAATAAGTCAGCATAGTACTACCCCGTGATAGTTTTGCTTTTCCCCATGTAGTCGATGAAGATTACGCCTTGCGCATTCCAAAAAACAGTGGCCATCACTTTTCCGGCCGATGGGACCGTCTTGGCCTTCTTCGGAGCACGTTCGCCGGGTGAAATACTGTTTTGACTGTACCTTGGTCTCCGGTGTGTAGTAATAAATCCATGTTTTATCAACGGTTTCTACTCGACGCAAAAACTCCTTCGGATTGCGCTTGAATAGCTCCTCATCAAAAACAGACGAACGACCACGTTTGAATTCATTGAACCAATATCTGACGGTTGTCATAGATGGTGAAGGGTTCCCATAGACGGCATTCAACTTCGTTTTTATTTCTTCGCACGTTTTTCCATCCAAAAATAAAAAGCGAATCACGGATCGATATTGTTCTTTTTCTATTGTATCAGAAAACATCAAACACTCTCATTATGAATTGTTATCAAATCAAGACTATTGCATGAATCACTCTGAAATTTTGTATGGCGTCATTTGAAAGATGGTAGTACACGATGGTAATGCCAACTTGCATCAGCAACATCATCTGTCTTCAAACACTTATTGATTTGCCCTCGTATTTATAACGAATGACATTTAATAGAATATTTAAGATAAAACAGTATGTAAAACATGAGAAAATATATATACATATATATATGTGTGTGTGTGTAGTCAGTGGTTATGAAAATGTTACAGTCTTTGTCGACAATATATATGGAACTCTGGAGGATTTCCTATTACGCCTTCTTTTTGTTCTTTATTGCGATACATTCCCGTGATTTTTCAAGCACCTTTTTCTCTCTCTTTCTCTTCATCTCGATGTTTAACCGTCGTCTAGCTATAATTTTTACGCTTGTCGTATAAGAGATGCTGCGTGTTTACTAGAAATTTTTACTTGCCAGTCCTTTTTATTTTCATTTATCTTTCACACAGTTCTCCTTACTTAAATATTTTATATTGTATTTATGAGAAATTCTGAAGTCTGACGTTCCGTTAAATATCCAATCCGCCTAACATCCGGCGTAAAAAAACGATAAAAGCTGTATAAAGTTCTTCATAACGAAGTTTTAATAAATAAATGTTATATTTCACGATAAATATATAACCTTGGGAATACTGGCGAAAAATAGTTACAGTTGAAGGAACACGAATGAAACTATCGGGATTAATTTTTGCAGCAAGAACGATATTATTACGAACCGCTTTATTTCCCGATAGCAGGTACGAGAAAAATCGCGGTAAATAAGCAAAGATTTCACTTTTGCGTCCTGTTTTTTGTAGCGTGCAAACTTACATTTTATATACAGTTGAGAGTAAGTAATCGCCGTTTTAATATCCGTTGCTTTGAAAAGAACCGATGACATTATCTCCTTAGTAAATTCACACTATATCTAGTAAGAGTTGTGATATGTTCCTTTTTGTCATGCCATACTATTTCGATCCTGCAAACATTCGGTGACCTCTTTTTTCTTCTCGCTACCTCCTAAAAGTTCCTGAATTTCGCGGTACGTCCGACCTTTTGTCTCGGGCACGGTGAATATCACCATCACGAATGCCAGTAAGCACGATCCTGCGAAGAAATAATAAACGGTGTGGGTGCCCAACCAGTCACTTATCACCTGATACAGTTTGGATACGATAAATCCAAGCATGCAGTCTAAAACATTGATAATGGCACCGGCAAACGCTTTCACCTCAGTAGGGAACAATTCTCCCGTCAACGCGCCTGGCAGAGTACCCAATCCGATACGGTAGGTCACCTGAAAGATCATCACATCGATCACTGGAAGAAGATTTGCTGCTGATACGTCGATGCCTCTTTCATCTAGCATAAGGTATATCGCAAGAATCGCCAGGGTAATGGAAGAACCCAGGGTGGAGGCGATCAGTAATGGACGTCTGCCCGCGCCTTCAACGGTTGCAGTTGATAATCCGCATGAGATGAGGCCGACTACGAGCACAAGTATCGTAGCCACGTTGGAATCGATGCCGATCGCCGCTTTCTTAAAGAGCACTTCAAGATACTGCATAGTGCTAAAGTTTCCACTGACAAGGGGAGCACCAGACATTGTCCCCTCCGATTGAGTTGAACTTTATATATGTTATAAATCTGTCCTCCCACTAATTCATCTTAAAGTAATAGGACCCGCCTCTCAAGCGTTCGCGAGAAAATCGCGTTTAAAGATTTACGTGTGCGTAATGTACCGTGTAATAAGAAGAGATCGACACCGTCATTCAATGTGCTCATTGTAAAACAATATTATGTTTTGTATGTTTTTACGATGAATATCATCCCAAAACATGTAACTCATCATACAATCAGTCCTCGTAACGTGCTATTGCGTGTGGTGTATGTTTTTAAATATTTAGCCTATAAAATAACTGTTTTAATTATACAATTAATTATATTTCAGATATTATGAAATTCATCTATTTATTAATGGTTGTAAGGTTTTCTTTTGTGAATATAATTTATGTAATTTCAGAATGAGTTAATAAGATATTTCAGAATACATAATGAAAGGAAAGTAAGGAAGAAAATAAAAAAGTCAATCTTCTATAACATTATTCATAAGATTTTAATAAGCAAATTTGTAATAAACATATATTTCAGTAATTGTAAGCTATTATTTGCTAATCTTCGGAATAAGACTGATTGTATGATGAGTTACATGTTTTGGGATGATATTCATCGTAAAAACATACAAAACATAATATTGTTTTACAATGAGCACATTGAATGACGGTGTCGATCTCTTCTTATTACACGGTACATTACGCACACGTAAATCTTTAAACGCGATTTTCTCGCGAACGCTTGAGAGGCGGGTCCTATTACTTTAAGATGAATTAGTGGGAGGACAGATTTATAACATATATAAAGTTCAACTCAATCGGAGGGGACAATGTCTGGTGCTCCCCTTGTGAGTTGCTGCGCAGCAATTAGACTGACTATGATACCGAAAGCTCGGGCGTTACTGGGTAACAGCATCAGCTTCAGTTTTTCCATCCAGCTGTGCTTCATGGATTCCATTCGAGTTCCAGGGCCGGCCACTGGAGTATTATCACAAACGTCTTCGATAAAAACGGTACGTAAAATGTATTCCAATTCTCTCCTTGCTTCGTCGCGATCGCGAATTCCTTTAAAGAACGCCAGTGACCTAGTTGCTTCTGCTCTACGACCCCTAGTCGCGAGAAAGGCAGGAGTCTCGGGGAACCAGGAGAAGCATGCTATGAATAAGATGGGTACCGCGAGAAGTACACCCGTCAAAACATGGTACGATACCCACGGACCAATACTACATGTCAGCAAGGAACCGGTGAACACGTTCACGGCGATCAGAGTACCGAGGGCACCTCTAATTTCGACGTCAGCGACCTCCGATACGTACATCAGATTGGTATTGTACGAGGTGCCTACGCCAATACCGAGAATTATCCTAGAAACGTAAAGAGCAACTACAGTCTGCGCGAAGAAAACGATTGTCCAGCCGATGATGAAGAAACCACTTGCAAACAGAAGGCCTTTCTTACGACCGTATCGATCAGCAAAACTGGCACCTATTAACGCGCCGATTATCGTGCCGATCTCCGTCAACGATACTATCCACGAGCTCTGATTGTCGTTTATCTTTATTGGGACGTCGCTGGCACCAGATGTGAGTCGCGTAAGTGATGTGATGGTCCATCCGTAGACGGAGCCGACCGCTACCATGGATAGAGTCGCTGCAAAATTGAAATATTAATGGTGATTGATTGCGTAATTGATTTTAATGTCATCTTTAAGAGCGCAATGTTTCATAAAATATAATATAAACCTGATATACATGCTAGCCATTGCCTCCACTGTGTCCGTTCGTGCTTTGTCGTTTGTTCGTCGTGATGATTGTCCTGAGAAGGCGAGACTTGCGTCACGATCTTACCCCTTGGTATCGCTTCCTTTAGCACGCCAATCTGACGTAGAAATAAATATTGATTTTTTTAGAGGATAAACGACAGTTTTTTTTTGCTATGCGACGTTTATAGTTGTCTCGAACTGAAGCGATATAAATAGTTTAGATTTCCTTCTTTAATCATAAAAAATTAATTTTGTAGTTATTCTAAGTTTTCTCAGTTGTAAATCATATGACAATTATAACGCTACCGATTAAAAATTGATCATTATTTTTCGCCAAAGTGATTTACGAAATGTTTTTGCGAACGCTTGAATGTCATTGTAGATTCAAAATAAACAGCGCAAGTACTATTTGTGCGTACATCTTCTTGCGCTTGACGGAATGCAGAATTCTTTTTCGAAGTGAGAAGCAACAGGTGATAGTGATTAATATAGCAATGTAAGAAATCAAATGAAATTCACCTTTTCTTAAAGAACTCGAAAATTCCGCGATTTAATGATTTATGTCATCATGCGAAAGAATTCACTAGCCTCTGTTTTACAAACAATATGAAATTAGAGTTTAGATAAACTTTTAAATAATTTATTAATGAGAGAAACGTAATGTATCATACAAGGAAATGTTCGCCAAGTACGGTGTCTCATATAATCATTCAAAACATCCAATTGAAATCCATTCAAAGTAACGCACTTATATAACATTAATGTCATAATTTCGCATTCAACAATGTAATGACATGTAACACCACGTATTATATTAATTTATATTATTGAGTGCGAAATTATAACATCGCTATTATGTTACTTTTATGCGTTTATTACGTTTCCATCAAATGTAGTATGTAATGTTAACTTTAATCTCGGTTCAACTTACTTTTCATTGCTTTCTAATCTTTAGAATTGGAAAAAAGGTGAAGAGTAGGAGAAACCGAGGTCAGTAAACTATAGGGGTAAGTAGAATAATCGAGGCTACGTTAAAACAAAACACGCGAGACACGCGTAATCGAATCTGAACACATAAAAGGGGAAAGAAACTGCAAGATCTCTTCAAGAGATCAAGTAGCAAGTAGATAAGAATTAGATAATGATTCAGTATCATTTTTAATGTTAAGTCCTAATTTTTGCTTTTTTATATGCACCATTTCAGAGATAAATCTTTTGCTATAAGACGGCTCCCTATCCAAGATCTTTACATCTTCCTAATTAAAATTATGGTTGTAATTGGTATGATGATCAAAAATTACGGACGGAGAACCAGTCTTTTTTTAATGTTCGAAATGTGTTCCTTTTTACTCTTGTTTTCAATTTTCTTTTAGTTTGTCCTATATAACTAGCTTCGCAGTCCTCACAGGAAATTTTGTAGACAACGTTAAGATTTGCCATAGTATCTAATAGATCTTTTCCTCTGGTTATAAGGAAAAAATTCTTTCCATTTTCGAAATATAATCAACCTTGTTTAGAACGACAGTAACATTTCCTTTATCCGCTTTTGTGATGAGTAATTTAAGACGATCTTTGACAAATTTATTTGTTAAGTTAAGCCAATCTAAAATATGTTTTTCAACTGAATTTAAGTGAGTATTTTAACATCTATTAAGAATCTGGACAGAATTGTTAATAAATAACAAAATTAATATTCTCAGGTCAACCATCTATATTGTTTTCAATGTTTGACAAAAGGTTGAAACGTCTATTTAATATTTAAATATATCATTAATTGGCTCGTAGCCCTTATTATTAATTTATGTTTATTTATTCTTAAAGTTTTTGTTTTACAATCGTATATGATTGTCTGAGATATTTGATTTCTATTTAGATAGAAAGTGTAATTCCTATTTAATAAAGTCTAACAGATTTTTTTGTTTATCTGTCTTTGTTATCGTTACAGTTTGCTACTGATAATGTTTTTAAAAAATGAAAGGATGGAACTAGTAGGCTATTCACAGCATGGGTTATGTGATTCATTTAGTGACGACTCTTATAGTATCTACTCAATATTTCATTCCTTAAAGAAATTTACCTCAGTGGTAAATGTTAGTTCTCTCACGTCCAATCTCGATAAAACTATAGCTCATTCGACGTGTTTTTGCACAAAACGAACGAATTTATAGCAAAAGAAGCGTTGTTCTACCCTGCGAAGCAAATGTTTGTGTTTAAAATATATTTTTATAAAAATTTTGTTAATATGTAGTCAAAGATGTAGTATAAAATACATCAATCTTCATTTTAATAATCTTAGTCAAATTACCCCATACCAGGGTAGTTACCTTACCCTGGTCCCAGAGCTAATTGATTCAGATGGAATGTATTAGAAAAATGCATTTTTTTTCCATATTAATTATCAGTTTCTCCTTATTATTAAAATATTGTTAGATAGTTAAATGTATGTAGTACCTGTTGTAGAATTCATTTTTTCGATAAGTCTCTTAATTTCATTTGTAAAAATTCGAAACTTGAAAAACTGAAACGAAAAACTGAAAAATGAGTCTACTATAGCTCCGGTCTCCCCTATGTTGAATCAAGATTAAAATTAGTCTATATTGCGAAAATGGGCATTAGTTGTCAATTGAGCATTTAAGCATTTGGTTTTAAGGTAAGGCCATGATCGACTGCACATGCGCATTTTCAAAGAATGAGACATCGCTCTTCATGGTCGCGTGTTTATCACGCTGGATCTCATCATTGGCAACTATTGTACATACATTTATTGCTTAGAACGTATATTATTGGAAATAGAATTGAGCGTTGAACGTGAAGCCAACATATGTGACAGAGAAAAAGCTATAGAGTCTCAGTTGACTGTAATGCGCATATGATACTCAATCCGTTTGTCCGTGTTCCATATTCGTACGTTTGTAGCCATATATATGTGCCAAAATAAAAAACAAACTTAGCATAATAGAAAATGCCTTACAAATCTTGTGTGTGGTAATCATGATAATTCGGTTTCTTATTACACGTACATAAGTTAATGTATGAAATCATCAAATTATGTGATAGCATCCCATACAGCACAGGAAGATTGCAAAATGATTGCAGATATATCTCATTGCAATGTTGTAATATTGCAAATAGATTGTGCAATGTATTTGCAACATTGTTGCAATGTCATACCATCACAAAAATATCTGCCTTTAGCAAGATTGCGCTGTAATGTAGCAATGTTGCAGCGCAATGTATTTGCAACTATTATTAAAAACAGCTCTTTTATTATTAATTACTGAATATAATTTGAAATACAATTGGTTAAGATCCGTGACATACGTTTATCACATTAGTCTTTTGTTAGCCGTTGAGAGATAAAAAAATTTTCATAATGAAAATTAAATGGCATTAAGAGTACTTTAGAAATATAATTATAAAGAGAAAAAAATTTTTTCTTAATAAATAAATAATTGTTACAAATAAATAATTTAAAAAAATTTTTTTATAGTTTTAAAGTGCTCTTGAAGCCATTCAATTTTCATTATGAAAAGTTTTTTCTATCTTTTACAGTTTGGGCAATATTCGCTTCGAAAGAGAAAAATCGATTTTCTTCTAAAGGGTGTTTCCTAAAAGTGCGTATGGGCACGTATAAAAAAATATATGTCGCTTATTTTTGTCTGGAGAATAACATATTAAAAGCTTATTAAAATCGGAGGGGAGTTGCATCCCTTTCCTTGTCAGTTATAATACCATTGCAAATTCTTTCACTTATGAAGTTATTTAATCATGTTTCAAGTCACTGGACATAATGTTGGATGTATGTGATAAATGATTGATACACAAAGAATTTTTTAAAACAATTGACTACAAGGGTTTCTCGTCAACGACCGCGCATCAACTTTTGCTGAATTAATTGACCTCGTAACCAAACGAATCACACAAATTATGGTTTAACCAAAAAAAGACGTCTACCATATGATGTAAAAGAAAATTTGTAACATCTATTGTTATATCTGTCTATATATGTGCTAAAAATTTTCATTTTCACTCCATCACGACTAAAGAGGACTTAACGGCTAAAGAGAAGTAAAATCCGAAACGGATACTTGAATGTAATATATAATAATAGATTCAGTTTGTAATTTTATCCATCTAACAATGTTGCTCGTTTTTAATTATTGATTGAATAGAATAATGAAATCACTTTAATATAGTTTTGCATATACACGAGCGAATATTTATATTCTGTTTTCAAATAGCATTGAAATACAATTTGTGATATAAATTTAAAAAATGCAGAAAAGGAACTAAACAATATACACACAGGTGTATATTCATCCCATTTTAAACAATGTATTAAGTTTTCTCGAAAATTATGATAGATACAGAAAAATGTTTCAAACAAAAGTTGTATGATTTGAAGGAGATATAAGAAGGTACCTGATTTGACCTTGGGTGGTGTCGTTAAGGTCAGGACAAGATCACATCGATTTTTTTTAAATTCTGCTCATTTAGAGTATCGTCAAAAAAATAGGGTCCTACAAAATGTCCGTTAAGTATCCCACGCCAAACATTTAAACTCCATCAATGTCGATGTGCAACCTTCCGAAACCATCGTGGGTTTCCGATCAATAGTGGCAGTTATGTCTGTTTGGCTGACTAGTATTACGTGAAATGTTTCTTCATCACTAAACAAGATATATCTAAAGAAACTTAGATCGCCTCACAACATTTCTTGCGATCACCTACAAAATTCGACTCTACGTATCTTGTCATTATTAGACAGAGCCTGTGTGAGAGTCACATGGTAAAGGTGATACTTTAAAGATCGTAATAATCTGCAAATTGTATTTCTTGGAATGCCTAACTCGCTCTCTATTTATCGAGTGCGCACATGTGGGTTCAGCAACCATTCCTAATACAACAATGATATGCAAATCTTCAATGTTATTACGATCTTTGCGGTGTCTATTTCTTCACCGAATTTTGCGTGGTTCACGCTCTATTATTCGAATCATACTATTGTTTGGGTGATGCTTTCTTCTAGGAAACCTCTGATGATACAAAGCTGCAGCTCTGTGATAGTTGCCTTTGCACTCACCAAGCACTAGAAATGTGTCGACAATCTCATTAAAGTTGTAATCAGGCATACTGATCAGATGGACCAACAGTATGGACTTGTATGGAACTTTCCAAAAAAATCTGCTGCGAAATCTAATGCAGAGCGCACATAACAGACGACGGTAAACGAAGATAGACAGTAAACAAAGATATGATCCGACAATGGTATGAAACCAGAGATCTAGTTCCAATGATCGTGATCGGAATGTTTATCTCGCGTTTTTACCGATGAGACAAAAGCAAGGCACTCTCCTTATGATGTTCGGGTATCACGCACGTTCTAGAACACGTGCAAGAAAAAAAGAATGAACAAGATCGCACACACTCGTTCTCGTGGAATCCATTGACAGGAAGTAATCGGCACGAATAATTTTGCCAAAGAGGCCAGAATTAACAATCCGGAAATAGCACGTTAATAAATTTAGGGTTCCGATGCTAATGCTGAAGACTGTAACTTTCGAGTCTCATAACTCGGAAAGTACTTAATGAAAATGAACTTCATTATAGTGGTGTGTGAAGCTAGCGTCTCACTTGGTGGAAACTCATTAAATATTGAGAGATCTGAGTTTATTTTCAATAATTCTATAGTTCTATTGTATATAGGATAAATAAATAGTTTCCTCCCCCTCCCCCTCCCCCCGGGCCATTAAAGCTGAGAAACCCAAAATTCGTAATAAGATGCCATGTTCATACAGGGCCAACTTCGTATAAAAAAGTTTCCATCCAGTTTCTTATAGGATTTGAAAAAATACATAGTTCTACAAAGAATTCTGACAACTAACATTATTATTTTGAGATTTAAACATTTTTTTTCTCTAAAAAATTATCTTTACAGGTGTTACGTCCTGTAGACTCCACGATTCTTTTCTTTCGTGGAAGATCGATCGTTGTCACTCGGATATTATTTATGAAATATAAGTAGTTAATAACAGTCTCGGACTGTTTATGGAGAAAGTAATCAAAGAGTAATCTACCCCTTATTTTTCACCACGGATTTAAATATCAACCACGAGATTGAAGGCGATGAAATTCCAGACATAGAGACCACAGTCCGTTCAAAACAAAAGATCGCAATAGATTCCTCTTTCGATAGACGAATAAATAATTGAATCAATTCCTAGTAGTAACTCCATACCCTTGGAGATAAAACCCAACACCGGTGACCGATGCTAATTGAACAAAGACTAGATATCAAGTTGCTACGGAAGTTAGAAATCATAGGTTACACCTTTGAAACTCGAAGAGGAATCTGTTTATCGTCATCCAATACCGTGGATTCGTAACGGACGACGATCTTTCTTGATATAGTTCTAAGAAGAGATTGCGAATCTAGCGATAAGTTTCACACGAGACAATCAAAGTTTACACTAGCCACCCACTCCTATCCTTGGCGACACCACCCAAAACTGACCAATCCGATGCAAGAAACGGGGCGGATGACTAAAGTCAATTTCACCAATAAGCTCTCGGTGATCTTAAATTTTTTAAACAA